ACTATTGGTACTTGGGGATATATTATTTTGGTTTTTCATGTTATTATTTTTTCCTTGTGTCTTTGACATGTGAATTTCCTTCCTAGTTTCTGATTCTTGTGTGAGACTCAAGCCTTCCTTCTTCAAGTTTAGGTCTGCTTCTTTTTGTAAACTTTATGTGCCTTTGTGGATTAATTTTTGGGAATGAAAAGCTGGTTTGTCTAAGCTTCTGGTTCTCTCTTTTGATTTTATATTGGAGTGGCCAGATTGCTTTTGTCTTCATGAGTTCCCACAGAGGCCCACGTTAGATGAGGATCAGATGCTCTCAGGTTTTCTCCTAAGGTTTGGATCCCTCCAGGAAAGATTTTCTGGGATCAAGGCCCAGAAAAATTGCTGCTCTCAGGCAGCTGGTGGCCATGCCACCCAGAGATACAAAGGGAGTTGGGGGCAGGAAGAGGCCCCAAGGGCTCCTGGGGACTTCACTTAGGAACTGCGTTGGTCTGGATGCAAAGGATCAGGAATCTGAGAGGTCAGCCCTGGTGTCCAAGAAAGGGGCTGGTGGGTTGTGGAGCCCACAGAAGTAGAGGGAGGTGAGGGTGAGCCCAGGCCCAGAGGGCTCCTGAGCACCTTGAGAAGGAACTGGGTCCATCTGGTTGCAAGGGATCAGGAAGCAGTGGTGGCCCTGGGCTGAAAAGTCATCCCTGGCATCCAGGAAAGAGGCTGGTAGGTCGTGCAGGCCAGGGAAGCAGAGGAAGGTAAGGGTGAGACCAGGCCCAGAGGGCTCCAGGGAGAGAAGCTGGCAGATTTTGCCAATATTTCCCTTTTGCAAAACAACAGCCTTGCAGAAATAAGGGTGTTCCTTTAGAAATTTAATTAATTTTTGTTTATAAAAACTTTATTGAGAATTTTATACTTGCATATAAGATGTTTTGGTTAAATCCATGCCCACTCCCTCCCCTCCAGCTTTCCCCCCTCTGAAGAGGTAACCCTAAAATCTTTTAATGATTAGATACAATTTTTTATGTGCCTAGAAATGTGAGTCTGTACACTGAAATGATCCTAGAGGAATAAATCCAGCTATTGCACATTTCACCACATTAAAAATGAAATCCTAGTGATTATTTTGTTTCCAATAAAATTTTCCTGAATGCATTCTTGACCTCCTTGTTCCTCAGGCTGTAGACCAGAGGGTTCAGCATGGGGGTGACCATGGTATAGAACACACATGCAATTTTGCCAGGGTCCATGGAGTGATTGGAACTGGGCTGTAGGTACATGAAGGTGACAGTCCCATAGAAAATGAAGACTGCAGTGAAGTGGGAGGCACAGGTGGATACAGCCTTCTGATATCCTGCAGCTGACTGTATCTTTAAGATTCTGATAAAAATGAATGTGTAGACTATCCCGATAACTAAGAGAGCAAAAGAGATATTGAAACTCGCTACATAAATAAGAACCAGCACTAAAACATGTCTATCAGAACAAGAGAGAACCATAACGGCTGGAATATCACAGAAAAGGTGTTGGACCACATTGGACTTACAGAAGGAGAGCCTGAACATGTCCACAGTATGGATGGAGACATTTAGGGAATAACAGACATAGGAACCTATAGAAAGACATGCACAAACATGTGCTGTCCTAGTGATGGCATAGTGTAGGGGCTTGGACACTGCAGCATAGCGATCATAGAACTTTGAGGCCAACAGGTAATTTTCCACTGTAGCAAAGACTCCAAAAAAGAACATCTGAGCAGCACAGTCATTGTAGGAAACAACTATGTCACCTGTGAGGAGTCCAGCCATTACTGTGGGAGTGACAGATGAGGAGTAACAGAAATCCACCAAAGACAGGTTACCTAGGAAAAAGTACATGGGAGTGTGGAGCCGAAAGTCCAAGAGAATGTGCAGGATCATCCCCAGGTTCCTGACCAGGGTGATGGTGTAGATGCGGAAGAAGGTGATAAAGAGGGGAACCTGCAGGCCTGGGTCATTGGTGAGTCCCAAAAGGATGGACTGTGTCACTTCTGTTTGGTTCTCCATCAGTGACATCCAGCAAACTCTAGATTCTACATAGTAATGAGGAAATAGAAATAAAAAGGCAAAGAAACTTAATAACATTTTGAAAGCATATGGTGAGATATTTTATCAAGGAATAACTTTAATTTAGAAATTGTGCAGATAGAAGCATTGATATTAAAATTAAGTAGACTGTGTTATTTATACAAAGTGTTATGTGCATTTGATTTAGGTGATTGCTAATGGATCCCTTATCTGATTTTAAGTTTTAATATTTTGAAAACTTAGATGAAGTCATTTAATAACAATAAATATGAGTTGGGAGGATCACTCTGCAAATTCTGAGCTCAGCAAACATTGAAAATTTCAGTTGCCTGTTTTCCGTTATCTATTATAGACAGAGCCTTTATATTTTCTTTCCTGTATCTCAACTATATTATAATTTCATGATTGATATTTCATGTAAATTATGAAGAATAGAACTTAGTAACTGATTTGTGTTAGTCCTTATTTACTGGCAATCTGTTTTGAATCCATGACAACATTTAACCTAAATTTAACCTAACAGGGTTCCTAAATCTGAGTCTAAATTAAATTAATATCAAACAGAAATTAGCAGAGTGTGTAATTACTGGTTGCTACTTACATGAAACTCAATATTTAGGTTTCAATAGAAATTATCTACCTGATTAATTAGATGGTGATAAAGTCTTGATTACTATGTATTTCCCAGACACTGGAGATAAAACAAATAAACAAACACACTGAAACCATAAAAATATGATTATTTCGACTAGAAGAGTATCCTACATTAATTAATAATCTCTGAACTATATTTTAATCCTTTCCCTTAAAATTGGTTTACCACCAGCATTTCCATATCTCCACATGTTGACAGTGTGACTAAAAATATAAACTGTTGGGCTGAAGATGAATTTAATCATTGATTTGCCACAATGGAGATGGCACATCTCTATGTTGATATGATGGGATGTCTTGGGTGGTGGAGGTGAGTTTAATGTGTAGATGCAGTTCTGAGAGAAGGTGGGTCATGGACTACATCACACAGAACTTAGCCTCATACCTGTCACTTATTACTTAGGACTCCTTGATCTTGACCTACCTCCTCTGAACATATTTCCACCTACGAAATGAGTTATGTAATCAGACTTAGCTTGAAGTTTTATTGTGAGAATGAAACAAGATAATACAAAAACAGTAAGTTCTACTGTTGAGCACAGCTCAGTGAGTGCTAACTTTCACATTGTCATTAGGATGGGAGAGTGATCTTTGTGCTGTTTTGATTAGGTGGAAGCTAGCATGCAGAGCTGCAACTGCAGGCGAATGGGAAATTTGAAGCTTCTTTCAGTAATTTTCATTTCCTCTTCCTTAGGGACCAATAACAAGGTCTGTTCTCTTCAACCTGTGCCTGGCTTCTTCCTTCACATATGTGAATTGCTCCTGCAATTCCCTGTGAGGAATTCTCTCTAAAAATTCTTGCTTGAAACTCGCATTTTCATTTTGGCAAAACAGTCTATTTTCTTCACCTCATTCTTTCTTCCATGACTGTCATACCATAGCAAAGTCACAAGAGAGACAGAAACAGCAGCTTTGGCATTCTGGTAAAATCTTTAGTCCCAGTGGTTACAGTGCCAGGCCCTATTTAATGAAACATTTCATTTGAATGCTGTCGTATAGTTATTATATTCTTACTTTTAAATTTACTAATTTTTAAATTTGTTTAATCCAGCGTGGTGAGTCTGTAATAAAGTCAGCTATTGGATATTGCACATGTACAGTTAAAGTAGTTCTTTCTATGGGAGTGATGAAATCTGTCATGCCCTCCAAGACTGGAAAAAATGGAGAAAGAAGCGTGAATATGGATCAGTTCACGATCTCCCATTAATAAATACTCTTTCAAAGAAGAATCACTCACTTCCACCTATGTACACAGCAAATATGAGATTTTATCTCTCACACATAATTTATAAATTGTGATTGTATAAAAAGAAATATGAAAACTCTATAAAATTTCTTGTAAAGGCAGTTTTCGTTTCTGAGTATTTTTCCTTAACCATGGTTAAAAACTTATAGGAAAACTTCAGTAGAGAAGAAAGCTGCACATGCTGACAGCAACTGTCATTCAGATGAACAGATTCTGCCCAATGGCAATGGCATACAGTGAACCCTTCTAAATCAGTATCATTTCCAGTCATGTTGGTGTTTAGAACTAATGTATGGAGCTCAGGAGACAACTACAGAGATTTGGTGATCTCGGGAGACTTTTCCCCAAGAAGTAGCTGTAGCTTTCACTCTACTTTTCCTTGGAAGAAGCAGTGAACATTGTTGTGGGTTCTCCTCAGGCCAGCTGTGAAGACCCTGACCTGGATCAGGTCCCCAGCTGATTAGGGGGGGCAAGAGGCGTGGAGTCACTACACAGACACTGGGAGTTGGGTAGAAGCAAGCACTAGGTGAGGTGCTGCAGGCTCGTTTAATGCAGGAGGGGGCAGGCCTTATATTTTCCTTTTCTCCACCCCCAAGTCCCTTTAATCAGCATATCATTTTCTGATTGTTCCATGCCATACAGTCTGTCAGCAGTCACTGGGCTCGAGAGCAGGGTATGGAGGCATGGGCTCCTTTTGGCAGGCTCCTTTTCACAGTGTATTTGCAGACCAAGAAGTGAGATGAATTCTTGCTGAATCCCAGGTTTCTGACTCTGCACCATCTTTGGAGGCCTCCTGCTACATTTCCACCCTTTCTCTTTAAAAATGACTGTCCAGTGAGAGCCTGTAGGCAGCTCCGCCTTGGAATGACCCCAGGATCATGGACTGTGCCTGTCTTAGGTTGTCCTATCTGGGCATGAACCTTACCTGTCATTGGAGCATAGGCGTACACGTCCATGTCCTGGCTTAGGTTGACAGGAGATTACCCGTCATTGACTACCAGCCCTCCAAGGAGTATCATCCTGGGGGATCAGTCGAGGTGGGGAATTTCTGGGCATGGTATCTCTAGGAGAATATCCTGAGATATAGGCAAAGGAGCGCCTTCCTTATTGGAAGTGGGTGCAGAGGTGGCGTCCACCCCAGGTTGGGAGGTCTGGGGTTGAGGTAATAGCCAGATTTGTACTAGATTGCTCCTGGTAGTGTTTGTTGTGGGCCAAGTTGACCTCCTCTGGAGAGGAGGATTTAAGGCTAGCAATTATGGCTAGGAGGATCCATACGAACTATGTGGGGGAAGTGATCCCTGACTCGACCTCCTTTTTTGGACCAGGAAGAGGACCCGCATCCACGTGTCAGGGTCCCACATGTTTTCAGGGGAGACCGATGGATCTAAATAAGTGTCTTCATCCCAAAAGTGTTTGATATCTTTTGGTTTTACTTTCAACCCTCTGGTTTTAAGGAGCACCTCGAGTTCTGCCGCTGGTGGTTCCCTGCATTGTGGTGGTAAATTATCCATTGTGGGAGGGTCTCGTGAAGGGGAATTCACCACAAAAGTAGAAGATAAGGGTGACTACCAAGAGGGCACAAAGGAAGCAAAGAAGCACCATGAGCCACTCAGATGTAAACTGCCCTGACATGTAAGGGTGTATCAGATTCAAATGTCTTGTGATTAATGAGGAACTTCTGAAGGTTGTGACCCCTTCAGCCATATGCTCACACGGTGTCTCTGGGACAGGCAACACGGTGACCAGAAGCCTGGGCTCTGAGTTCAGGGTGGATCAGCCCTTATGTGAACTCAATGGGATGAGCCGAGAGGGGGGAGATGCCAACGTGGGCTTTGGGATGAAGTGGCAGACGGTGCCTCCCTGATCTAACAAACTAATCCAACAATAAAGACAACAGACAGGGTGGACAGAGGAGGGCCTACTCGCTTACCCTCAAGCAGTTGAAGAAACAGACAAATCCAGGGGCCTACTTACCGAACAAACCAAGTTTCTGGGTGTTGCCAACACCGTGGGCTGGTGTCCCTGTTCGGGCACTAGTTGTGTGGTCTCGAAGCCACTAATTTAGCTCCATGGGTCTCCCCTGAAAAACATGTGGGACCCTGACACGTGGATGTGGGTCCTCTTCCTGGCCCAAAAAAGGGAGGTCAGGTCAGGGATCACTCCCCCCGCATCATTCGTACCGATCCCCCTAGCTATTATTGCTAGCCTTATATCCTCCTCTCCAGAGGAAGTCATTTTGACCCACAACAAACACTGCCAGGAGCAATCTAGTGTAGATCTGGCTATTACCTCAACCCCAGACCTCCTGGAGCCAGAGGTGGATGCCTCCTCTGAGCCCACTTCCAATTAAGGAAGGAGCTCCTTTGCCTATATCTCAGGATACTCTCCTAGAGCTGTCATGCCCAGAAATTCCCCCACCCCATTACCCATGGAAAGAGTTACTCTCTCCCCCCCATAACCATCCCACCTCTTCCCCTGCTAACGTGCCCCTAGGCTGCTTTCCTTAAATCCTCACCTGCCTTTGTCCACACTTCTGGTTAATGTCAGCCTTGATGAAGCTTAGCGTCCATGGCTGCCCACCCCACTCACTGACCTCACTCTTATCCACAAGGCAGCTGAGCAATTGGGCCCTGACTCTCCATATTTCAAACAAGTTCTTTGCCAGTATTTCTTACATTTACAAACCCACTATGATTGGTATAATTTACTAAAGGCAGTCTTAGAACCCTCAGTCTTTCTAAACTGGCACGCAGCCTGTGACAATCAAGCTGAAAACCAGGAGGGCCTAAATCTCCAATATGGACTCAACATTACGTTGGACATGTTCATGGGATGCAGACAATATACTGACCCCATCTCCCAGTCTACTATTGGCCTCCATGCCTATTTTAAACAAGTTTCTGATTTGGCCTTTAAGGACCTTAAATGTTGCTCCCCCCGCCCCCCTGTGACCCACAAGTCTTTCTCTGTAATTTGATTCAAAAGTCAGAGGAGTCCTTCACAGACTTCCTTACCCATGTCACCGAGGCAGTAGAGCAGAGGGTGGAGTCTGGACCCACCCGAGAGGTGCTTACCAAACAGTTAGCTT